CAGTGATAAAATGTTATTTTTACGCATTTTTCCTAGGTCTTGGCTTTTCTTCATAGCCTCTTAATTTCTAACAGCCTGACTGTGGAGCTCACACAGGATTTCCTCCCTTATAAACAACAGCTACAGCTCAGCTTGCAGAATGTGAGTTTGCATGTGCATTTTCCTTTTTCTCCTTCCATTTTAATTTAATTTAAATCCTAATTATCTTGACCTTGAAATTCTAGGATTTTGTATACATATTTTGTCATATATATTGGTGTGAATCACAATTATTCCAATGTACAGGACTGTTCTTAGTTCTACAGTTTCAATTCTTCCCAACTTTTGAGGCAAACTCAGTCATAGCCCACCCTTCGACTCATCAAACACATCCATCTAGCCAAGATTTATCAAATGTTGCTAATCTTTATCTCTCCCAGATAACCTAATTATGGACTTGTTTAAGGATAGATCTTATGCTATTTTACTCGTGGTCAGTGTAACACTCTCATTAATAAGAATTCCCATTTTTCCTCCTTTAAAAAAATTATTTGTTATTGTTGCTCTCTAATCAGTCCTGATTAATGGCAACCCTATCTATGTACAAGAAGTCAACATACTGTCTAGTCCTGTACCAAATTTATGATCATTGGTATGTCCATTGTTGTGACCACTGTGTGTTAATGGTCTTACAATCTAAGGTGTCATCTTCCAGTACTATATCAGACAATGGTCTATTGTGGCATATGGAATTTTGGTTTTGTCCTGATATGACCACCAAAGTAAACCAGAGTCATTCATAACCCATGGACAAGCAGATGGATTCTGAGCTTCCACTTAATTCTAGTGCCAACCGAAGACCAATTCTTATAATAATATGGCCCTGCTTGATATTTGCCTTCATGAAGAGATCACTGAAAGTAAGGGTGCTACAGCAAAGTATGGTGGAGAAAATAGGTGGTGCCCAGCTATCAATTGGAATAGTGTCAGGGGTCTTAAGGCTTCTATTCAAACAAGCAGCCATCTAAGTGAGATGTGAACTAAGTTTACATTGAAGAAGCACATCAGCCTGTGTGATCCAAAGAGGAAGATAATACAATAAAAATATGATGGAGGGAAAGGTGTCAGAGCTTAAATTGTGAACACCCAATTTTTAGAAGGCTATGTAGGATGGGGAAGCCAAAAATCCATCTACAGAATATCTAGTCAGATTAAGCCTCAGGAAGATTCCTCTCTAGCCATCGGACAGGGACTAGAACAGCTTTATTATCAGCCAGATTATTGTAACATGATTATGATGGATTGAACCATGGTGTAATATAATACATGGTCCATTGACCTCCCTCTTGACCCAACCTGAATTTGCTCTAGGCTCAGCTATTTCTCACACATTTCATGATAGAAATGTCTTCTCTGCCTTTTTAAATATTGTTGGTTGTCTTTTCTTTCTTACTCTTTAGTTTTATCTTTGTATTATTAGCATTTTTTTCTGTCGGTTTCATTTTGGTTTTGATTTTTATTTTTTTCTGTTGGGTTTCACAGTTTGCAAAGCAAAGAAGATGTAGATGCATAGAGATAATTAATGGTCTATGGTTTATTGGGCATGTAGGATTGGGGGTGTGAAGGGTGAGGATATTTGGGGAGTAAACAATAAATGTGGGAGTGGGGAGGGAGCATTAGAACTGATTGTTATGATGTTTATACAGCTCTTTTAAAAAGTGACTTAAACTATGGAAGGGCATAATATGTGAATATTATATCAAGAAAACTACTGAAAAAGAAAAGAAAAGAAGCCAAACTTGACCAATGGTTACTGTGGTCAAAGGAAGAAGAGATTCTGCTTAGGGAGCATTGAGTTTATGTTAATTATGGTGGAATAATTTGGAAAAGTATGAATAATCAATCAATGAGATCGATAATGGTTGTACGAGATGAAAAAGTATAATCAATGACACTGAATTATACATGTAGAAGTTGAATTGGAGAACGTTTTTTGTGTATATTTTTGCCACAATTAGAAAAAAATCATTACACAAATAATAATGAGTACAAGGAAGAAGAAAAT